ATAATTTATAGTTTTATAGTAGCCGCTTTTGAGGAAGTTTAAAACTAATCACTACTACTACGCTACTAAGGCAGCAAAATTAACGATTTCAAAATCGATCATGTGCTTCGTTTTGCAGTCTCAGTATTTCGCAAATAATAAAGGTAATCCTTAAAAGCGTTAGAGCCCGTTCCCACTTGTCGGGTGCTCGACGGCGAAGAAAAACATCTTGAGGAAACCTGCAGGCCTGAGATATAAAAAAAATATTTTTCGAAGACATGTGAAGTCTGCCAACACGCATTGGAGCAGCGCCGCGGACAATTCCTTGCCTTAAAACCCTCTAAGAAGTGAGAGGAGGCCTGTGCCCAGTAGTGGCACACGGTAGCTAAGCTTCTATAGAAGCCGAGAAGCCGGGCTTGCCCTATCAAACTGCTAAATCAATAATATCAACTAATAAAATGATTCGTAAACTGTTTCAAACTATTTCAAATTTCCCGCGCGCTCCTCTGTTCTACACAGGTCATGACATCGTAGCCTTATTATGTAACGTCAACACTTGGCAGATTGCTTTCAATTCGAAATACACTGATTGGTGTTCTCTCTGTCTCAAAGCGGACACGCAACGGACTGTCAAAATTAATCGTCGCGGAAAACTGCGCGATACTGCTGTAATAAAAAAGGAGTTGAGTTGAGCGATCGTCGTCTCTCTCATACGCGTGGGCTTTTTACCGGGCTTTCGAGAAGACGATAGCTCCCTTTCTAACCTGTGGCAAAATGTTATATAATGAATTTTTTTTTGCGCCCACAAGCAATTGAAAAGGGTACTACACCCGTAAACGGGAGGGAGGTGGTGAATGCTCTAAGCATACCACGACAGCCGGCTGTTGTGGTTATGTGGGACTTACTGAACTAACCTAACGTAACCACCCTAAGTGCCTACCCACTAAACACCGCCTGTGAGACTGGCATTGGCTTATGAGGCCTTTCTGCCGAATCGGAAGCGACCCTATTTTGGGAAAAGGGGGCGCAGGCGGCGACGAGCCGCTGAGGGGGAGCCTACTAAGGCAAATTTAAGAAGAGTCGGCCTGAGCCGCCAGGAGGCAGTTCAGGTCGGTTGAAAGCTTGTATGGCGGGTCCGAGAGAGAGTTTCTCGGCCTGCGGACTCGATAGCAAGAGGGCAGTAGGGCTGCATAAGTAGCTGCCTCATGAATGAAATGATTGGAGTGAGACTCTGAGGCTTTGAAGAAATTCTCAGAGAGTGTTTTTAGAAATTGTTGAATTGTAGGGAGCTCCAAGTCTCTATGGAGGTCGGGGCCAGAAGGTGAGCCTCGTGTCAAGGGTGACACCTAAATATTTGATAAATATGGGTGTCTGTGGGCCACAGTATCCACATACCATTAGGTGGACTATGCTCATTTGTCACCATCATTCTATATAAAAAAAAGCCAAGGCTATATATTCCGATTCATTGATATTTCGATAAAACTGACGCCATTCTCAACGCGTGTGTCCAGCGAGACGTACACTCTCATACTGAACGGCAGGCATATCTGTAGAGACAGTTCTGATATTGCTCCGATCGCTTTTAATCCTAGATTACCCTGCGGCAGGCAAGTGAGTAGCCGCTTTTAGTCGTGTGCTTGTAGCCGGTTTCGCGCAGCGACAAGTTAGTGACGCGTTTATACAGTTCCCGTTCTCGCAGCAGAGTGAATCCTTCACATTATTTAAGTTTGGAAACAAGATAGGTAAGTAAATATTTATTATAATTTGTACTGTTTCTTTAAGCTACAAAGATAAACCGTGCATAATATTTAGAAATGTGTTGTTTTAGCTGCCCTGCCGAATTTACATTCGAGAAAGTTTCATAACAATAATTATTTAAACTATTTCCGATTGTTTAACTAAGTTAAAACTCAAATTATCATGCGAGTACATTGTCTTGTTATTTCTATTAATCATTTATTTATTTTCAGAATCATTTCAAACTCATTATGGATAGTCGTCGATCCTCGTTTTTTAAGAAATCTGTAGATACAAATCATAAACTACCGCCTAAGCCAAATGTTGTTCGAAGAATATTTACCGAAGACGATAGCTGTGATGATTTAGATTCTGAACGTGATGATTACGTCACAAAATTAAGACATCCACTTAAGGAAGAATATGATACTTTGGAGATACAGCAGGCTAAAGCAGGTGAGTTTTAAGCTATGTATCGTTTTTAGGGTTCCAAACCAGGAAGCCTTATGGTTTCGTCATGTCCATCCGTCCTTCTGTCCGTCCGACTGTTCATTACAGTCATTTTACTCGCTAACTGTTATAGCTATGGAGTTGAAATTTGGCACGATTCTGTATTCTTATGACGCTTACAAAGTTCTGCAAAAAATCTGTAAAAAAAAACGGTTTGTTTAGGGTATCTCACCTGCATGTAAAGAGGGGGTGATTTTTTCAAATTTGTGTACCCCATTTTGTAGGGTATCGTAGAATAGGTATTTAAAAATAGTAGGGGTTTTCCTTAAAGATTTTTCGTAAGAGTTCTGTATGGCTCATACTATCTTCGGAACCCTATTCTGTGCGTGGTCGGACACGCACTTACCCGGTCTTAAAAACAAGTTATACATAAATCACAAACAGGCGACCACGATCAGGTAGAGAAATCCATTGACCACGACATCCATCCCACATAGGCATTAATCTTACAGACAGGCGATTGTGTTCAGGCCGAAACGTTCATATACCAAGTCCTAAAGCAATCACAAACAGAAGGCAATGCTCATGATGGAACTTCCTTCGTGCATGACATCCACCCCACACAGGCATTAATCTCACAGAGAGGCGATTGCGTTCAGTCAGAAACGTTCATATACCAAGTCCTAAATCAATCACAAACAGAAGGCAATGCTCATGATGGAACTTCCTTCGTCCATGACATCCATCCCACACAGACATCAATCTCACAGACAGGCGATTGTGTTCAGACAGAAACGGTCATATACCAAGTCCTAAATCAATCACAAACAGAAGGCAATAGTCATGATGGGACTTCCTTCGTCCATGCCATCCATCCCACACAGGCATTAATCTCACAGACTGGCGATTGCGTTCAGTCAGAAACGTTCATATACCAAGTCCTAAATTAATCACAAACAGAAGTCCGTGCTCATGATGGGACTTCCTTCGTCCATGACATCCATCGCACATAAGCATCAATTTCACAGACAGGTGATTGCGTTCAGTCAGAAACGTTCATATATTTTTTTTATAGAATTAGGGTGACAAACGAGCACACAGTCACCTGATGGTAAGTGGTTGCTGTGGCCCATAAACATTTACATCTATCTTCAATTACGAATCAAAATGCAGATGCGTTGTCACTCGTGAGGACTAAGATGGAACGCCTCGTTTCCAGTAAAAAGGGTATCCGGTTCTCTACACTCACCATACGAAACACAACAGCGTTAAGCTGCTATTTTACGCTGGTATTCTGTGAGAGCGTGGTCCTTCCCCGGTCGAGCCGACCCATTCGTGCTACAACCATAATGTAGCTGCAGTATGGCTCTACCACGTGAGAAAATACCAAGTCTTAAATCAATCATTTATGTATTTCTTATGTATTTATTTTATTTTGTTGATATTTATGTAGGTTTATCATTTTCATTAAAAATTATATATTTATACAGACCAACCAGTTGAGAAAAATATATAGATACCCCTCATAATAATAATTTTCTTTATTTCCAAAATTGATGAAAATGATTGATGGCTATAAGTGAGATTTCGCTTAAAAACTATTTGCAGTTGGTATACTGACACCAGCTTTCCAACGGCATAAAGAAAGTTTGTATTTCAGTCCAGCTCTAAAAATCTAACATTGAGTTTCAGCCACGAATTTAGGCCCAGGCTAGTTTTGAGTCTCATGTTCTTTAAGATAGGGTTTCGTTTTAGCCGGGCATCTATGTATGAAGGTGTCCCTTCTCCTTTCCCAATTTAAGAGCTAATTTTTTACTGACGAAATGACTGGATTTTTTTTTCATTTAAAAAATGTCTCAAAGAGAAAAAATCTGGTTTGACAGTGTTTCAAAAAAAAAAACACTACGGATTCATCTAAAGCTATTTGCGAAATTTGTGATAAGTCATATTCACTGGGAAGTATACTCGTAGAACCTAGAAAACAAACATTACATGGATTAAAGCAACATTTGGCAAAGTTTTATCAAGCGGAACACAGGGAGGTCTTGAAAAGGCTGTCGGAAATAAATGAATTGAAAAATGAACCAAAGGAAGCTAAATTGCAGCGAACGGGTTTGAAAATCTCACAGGAAGTGTTAAGTACTGATCAACCGAATCTTATTCAGTCAACGATCCCGAGTTTCTCTAAATCTAAACTTGTACAGTGGCCAGATGATCATGAAATTACAAAAAGGATTGACAAAGCAATAATGGACTTAGCAATAATTGTAAACATGCTCCCTTATGCTTTGGTGGAAGGCGAAGCGATTAAGCGATTAAATTTCGCCGATCCCCACTCATTTCACAAATATCGCTTGAAATCTGAAGAATATTTTAGAACCACTCTGATGCCGCAAACATATGAGAAAATTAAATCTAAAATAAAGTCTTTAATGGAAAAAAGTGAGTGGGTGAGTGCTACTACCGATATCTGGACTTCATGTAAAACATGTTCACTTCTCAGCTTTACAGGTCATTTCGTCGTAAATCATCAACGCCTAAAAGTTATATTAGGTGAAAAAGATCATACCAGTCAGTACATAGAGCAAAAGTTTACAGAGATGGTGAATGAATGGAATTTGAATGGCAAGATATTTCTAGTCCTACGTGATAATGCAGAAAACATGGTTTGCGCCATGCGTGGTAGCTATGAGTCAATAGATTGTGTGGCACACACATTGCAGTTGGTGATAAAACATGCATAATTTTCAAGTGAAGAAACCAAAGAAATTTCAAAAAAATGTAGAAAAATCGTAGGCCACTTCAACCATAGTGAGCAGGCAACCAAAAAATTGATTGAATGTCAGAAACAATGCGAAATTGCGGAACATACTTTAGTACAAGATATGGATGTAAGGTGGAACAGCACGTACTTGATGTTACACAGACTGTTAGAGCAGAAGAATGCAGTCAACTTGTACAGTATCGAATATGGAAAAGTTGATACTCTTTCCTCTAATGAATGGGATATCATAAAAAATCTCACAACTGCTTTGAAGTTCTTTTATGAGGCCACTCTTGATTTATCGTTTGATGACGCATCCATATCAATAGTAATACCTCTGATATCATTATTAACCCGTACACTGCAAGTTCGATCCGAAAACGAAAATGAGATAATGATCAATATGAAAAACTCACTGTATGACTCTCTGAATACCAGATTCTCTTATATAAAAAGGCAAACTTCATTGATGGCTGCAACAATTCTTAACCCGAGGTTTAAATCAAAACACCTCAATTCCGATGAATTGGATCTTGCAATGTCGGAAATAATATCTTTTTTGACGGATTATAACAACAATTCCGCACTATTCAGAGGCACAGATAATGTCTCCTTAATGTCTACAGCCCCTTTCGTATTGTCAACCTCCACCTCCAACATACAGCAAGATAAAGAGGGTCTTTGGGATTCACATGATAACACTCCTAATCAAATGGAGTCAGCTGGATCTGAAGATCAAAAAACTGTTCTGAAAGAAAAATCTCAAAATAATTTGTCGGAGCCATTACGAGTATTGCAACGGAATGCCGATATATATTGTTATTGGAACAGCAGTCCCTATCTAACTCTGAGAAAAGCGGTTTTAAAGTATCTTTCTGCTTCACCTACTAGTGTACCAAGCAAGCAACTGTTCAGTGCTGCTGGACAAATTTACACAGATCGTCGAAATAACCTACTTGGTGAAAAAGTTGAAAAACTACTTTTATCTGTATACAATATCAGAGTTTTTAGTTATGAATACTGAAATTACTTAGTTGTTTACTAATCTACATAGAAATAGTAATAATATTTCGTTTCTTTTTCTGATTTTAGAACTGATTTTTTTATCTAGTACGAATTGACGTACAAATTATTGAAATTATTATTAAGACTGATAACTAGGTAATTCTTTAAGGCTAAGCACAATATCTCGATATATACCTAATAAATAAGTCTTAAAGCTTTTGTAACGTGACAATTAAAATTGTCTTTTTTATTCAAAGTGTAAGATTTTTAACAAGACAAGATTAAGTAACTAAAACATGATTCTTATTTTTTTAATTAAATACTAAACTGTCGTTAAAAGTGTTGTAATCTTTGTTTAGATTGATAATTATACTAGCCTAACTTTTCATACATGTAAGTGTTGATTATTGATAAAATTTACTTAAAAAAAAGTATTTCTTAATGTTAAATTTTTAAATTTTGACATTAAAATAAATAAATAATAAATATATTGCTACATGAAACTACTACTGTTTTTCATTAACATGAATTACTTATCTGTATACCTATATGTAAAAAATATACCAGATTTCAGTATACAATAGAAAAATAACATATCTAAATAAGTTTCGGCTTCGGCCGAAAGTGACACCCAGACCCAAGGTTCGTTTTCGGTTTCGGTGGAAAATCCTGTTTCGGTCGGACACTAGTAATTGAGCCATAGAATCCCCGTCGATTTTCAAAAACGAAAATCAAAAACGAATTTCGAAATTGAAACTATCTTGATTGACATTTTGGCTTATTGATTTTAAAGTCACATGTTAAGAAACCATGATTACTGACACAACACATGTACGATAAAAACACAATAATGTTTGTGAACATTGGGAAAAAACAGCTCACAAAACTAATGCGCCTGCAGCGGAATGCGATAGACTGGCGGCAATTGAGGAAGGTAGAGTGAAAGACGGAATTGCAGTTATAGATGTGATTGCTGATGACTATTGGTCTAAGCGCGGAAGTTCGGTGAATTTTTTTAGGCTTTGAAAATAAAAACGGTTGCATATGTGCTCGTGCACATAATACAGGATTACTACTAAAACGAACACACATGTTTCAAAAACTTCACAGGTTCTTCTTAGAGAATGGAGGCAGCAATATTAGCAAAGGGATTCAAAAATTCAAAAGAGATTTTTAATAATCTAAAATACTAAACCATAGTACTTGTATTATTTAAAATTGACAAACTCGTATTATTTATTGTGTCACTTAAGACACTTCAAGCAGCAATTTAATCGCAAAATGGGTTTGTCAAATAATATTACTTGAAGAAGATTGACTGTGTATTGCCTCAAAATTCAGCCACTTCGGCAAGCAATCGAATTGGCTGTTGGGCACGAATACGTGTAGGGTCTGATTTACACGCATAGGCTAACTAGGCTGGAGCCTAGGGCACAAGGTTACCCTTGCAAGCATAATTTATGTAGATAATATTTTAATAACGTTGCCCTTTCTTAATTTTCGGTACGAAATTAATAAATATATTGTAAAAATAACACTGTACTATAATTATTATAATAATTAAGGTACCTTGAATACCACTAGCTGATTAGTCACTCACAGATCACTAATCAACTGGTTCAAGTTCTAATCTTTTAATTAACTGACTCATAGATGAGTGGAAGCAGTAGAGTTCAAGAGGGAGGCCTTGGTCATTACTTTGGACATAGCCAAGGCCTTCGATGGGCTTTGGCACAAAGCATTTCTTTAGAAGCTATCTTCCTATGGGCAAATTGTGCAACTGTGTTGTCAATTTTCTTGCAGATCGAAGCATCAAGGTTGTAGTAGACGTGGTACACTTCGACTACGCGCCTATTAATGCTAGTGTTCCACAAGACTGCGTGCTATCACCAACACTGTTTCTTTTGTATATCAGCTATTTGTTGCGGTTACTGGTTAGTGGTTATAACACTGATGATGTTTTTTTACATCGGCCGTGTTAATATTTCTCGGGAACAAGACATCGAGTATCGGATCAAACCGAATCTTTAATAAGCAAACTCTCGGAATTGGGGACGATTCTAGTCCACTTTAAACTTCAGAATATACAGGTTTGCGCGTTTACCTCTATAAAGAACTCCTTACCTCCAAACCACTCCTCATCGGAATCCTCAGCATCAACATGTTGAATGACGTACAGTTCTGCGGTCATTTGTAAGAGAAGGCTAAATTATCCTCTAAACAGCTTGGCGTGCTCAGCAGACCGGGACAGTATTTTATGTCGGCACACCGTTTGCAACTTAACAAGGCGCAAGTTTGCCCTCACTGAGTACAGTTCTCATTTCTGCACCCGGGCACCCTAGTGCCAGCTCCTTCAAGTTGGCCGCATCCAGCGAAGAGTGGCTTGAATCGTAGTCTACCGAGTTTTTCAGATCGGCTCGAGTCATTGGTGCTGCGAAGAGGTGTTGCATATCATTGCATTTTCTATCGTATTTTCCACGGGGACTATATAGAAAAATTGTTGGGTTTCATTTCAGCCGACAAATTCCACCAGCGCACATCGGGACAAAACTCACGGTATCATTCACACCAACTGGATACTTGGCGGTCCACCATGATTGTGCGATTTACTAGAGGTTTTTTCCTCGCAAGACTTATTTGTGGAATCATCTACCATCGGCGATTTTTACGGACCGATACGACTTAGAGACCTTCAAGAAACAAGTCAGGCTTACTAATTATAAAAAAAAGGCCGGTAACACTTACTATCAGAAAAATTTGATTTAATGCAGACGAAACCGCGTGTTCGAAAGCTAGTAAACTATAAAAATCTAGTAAATATATTTGTGGGCTGGGCAGGCACAGAGCGGAACAGGCTGGGAGGGGGGGGGGGGGGGCGTTTTCATAGTTAGCCTAGGGCTGCCAAAACTTTAATTCAGGCACTGCAAATACGTCAAGAATTTCTTAGCTATTCTTCCCAAGATACCGTAACGTAAACACATTACTGCCACGATAGTACTAATATTTAGAAGCAATTTTCTAGAACATGAGCATGACGCAGTCGGTAAGTTATAACAAATACAAAAACAATTGCGAGTTCAAGTCTAGATAGTGAGTTTGTCGAATACTATTAAAATATTTATGCATCTCAAAAATAATTAGTGTCACATTTGCTGCCGTCATAAAAATGGAAACATCACTGATGAAAAATATGCTGAACATGTATTCATGGAGCTAGAAAATAAAAAAGCACCGACTAACGCGATGCGCCACAGGTGTATGTAGGTATGTCACTTTACTTTATTGTTCACACGAGATATTCAGTATGTACGTGGTAGAGCCATGCCGCAGCTATATTAGTAGTATAGTTGTAGCACGACCAGGTGGGCTCGACTGGGAAGGACCACGCTCTCACAGAATACCAGCCTAAATAGCAGCTTAACGATGTTGTGTTTCGTATGGTGAGTATAGAGAAACGGAGGCCCTTTTTACTGGAAAGGAGGCATTCTATCTTAGTCCTCACGGGTGCCAACGAATCTGCATTTTGATTTGTAATAGAGGATAGATGTAGATGTGTATGGGCCGCAGCAACCACTTATCATCATGTGGACTGTGTGCTCGTTTGTCAACCTTATCCTATAAAAAAAAATGTAAAATTGGCCCAATATCTGCAAGATAATGCCATCTTTTTATTTTACTACTCAGACCCAGCGCCTAACTAAAATCCCAACTGATTGTAAATGATGATGTAGCCTAAGATGGTGAGGCGTACTGACTTAACAAAAGCTTATTCACTGTTGCCTTGGAGACACATTTTTTACGTGGTATAGCCATGCTGCAGCTATATTACTGGTATAATTATAGCACGAATGGGTCGGCTCGACCGGGGAAGGACCACTCTCTCACAGAATACCAGCGTAAAATAGTAACTCCACGCTGCTGTGTTTCGTATGGTGAGTGTAAAGAACCGGAGACCCGTTTTACTGGAAACGAGGCATTCCATCTTAGTCCTCACGGGTGTTAACGGATCTGCATTTTGATTCGCGTTATATATGTTATACATTCGGGGATAGATGTAGATGTCTAGAGGCCACAGCAACCACTTACCATCAGATGGACTGTGTGCTCGTTTGTCACCCTTATTTTACGAGTATTTAAAAAAACTGAGATTGTAATCGGATGGAAAGACAGATGCTGGAAACTTATATTACAGGAGTCTCAGAAAGGAATAATCATACGCCTGATTGTTAGTTGTTTCCTTTACTACTTTTACACCACGAAAAGCACCTCAATCATTATTGCAATGGTTTAAATAATATCACACAATGGTGGTAGCTACCCCTACCACCTATCCAAATTGAACCTATCAACAGTTCGAATGTGTAAGAATTATACAATCAAAATAATTTTATAATATGAAAATAATTAAACCACTGTTATAAATATTACTGATAAGTCAATTAATTATAATTGCTTAGAAAATGAAATTACTTATATAATATTTTTTACAAATTTCTCAAATCCTAAATTAAAAATAAACTGAGAAAATTATCTATGATAATTATTATAACAATACAATGACTATAATCTATTTTATATTTTTTATTAAAAAAAATAAAACAAAACGATAATTACACAATTATTATTTAAATGATTCATAAAAGGAATTATTTAACCCTTATTAAAACACAGGGAAATATATACCATCTGCTCGTTACAAAAAAAACTTTCAGTATTTTTGTATGTATGTGGTCTATGGTGCTAAAGCCCTTTCGGAAACCGGCTTGTTCGGGAGGCTGGAAGTCGTCAAAACTGCACGCGAGACGATTCGTAATGACTCTCGAAAACAGCACGTAGACGCGGCTCAAAAGGGAAATCGGTCTGTAGTTCTTCAAGAGAGCGTTGTCACCTTTCTTGAAGAACAAGACCACCGCACTTCTGCTCCACGCCTCCGGTGTAATGCTACCATGGAGGACGGAATTAAAGAGCTTCTGAATGACTTCAAGTATCGGTTTTCCACCCGCTTTCAGAAGCTCCGCT